AAAAAAAAAAAAAAAAAAAAAAAGAAAACTTCTTCTGTCAATGTACGTGTAAGCTGCTCACAATTTTTCAATTTAGAAATAATATTGCGGGGCTGGGGATTTAGCTCAGTGGCAAAGTGCCTGCCTGGCAAGCGCAAGGTTATTAGTCAGATTCCCGGTACCAGAAGAAAAACAAAAACAAAAAATAGAAATAATATTGCAATGATAATTTGCAAATATGTTTACTATTTTTGTCCTAGAATATATTGCCATTAGTAGAATTGCTGGATCAAAAGGTGTACACATTTTTTTTTTCTGTTCTAGGAATAGAACCTAGGGCTTTGGGCATGGGAGGCAAGCAATCTACCACTGACCACACCCCCAGCTCTTATTTCTTTTAGTTTGAGACAGACTCTTGCTAAGTTGCCTTCAACCTGTGGTCCTCCTGATACAGGGAAAAGAAACTCCCAGCCTGCTAGATGTCCCATACGAGTTGGTGTTCTCTAAAATCAAAGAATGAATTCTAGGAACAGAGGTAAAGAGCAAAATATATTTATGGGGGAAAGAAAGCTTCTGTCCAAGAGAGGGACAGAAGGGGTCCCGAGTGGGTGCCAAGGACCCTGCCTTTTCTAGGGATTTTCATAGAGGAAAACCACAAGGTGAGGGGGGTCCAAGGTGGGGGGAAATGAGAAATCACAAGGTGGGCATGAGGTGGGACAAAACTATGGTCAACCAATAAGATTATGAGCATAGTTGCTGGGGTAAAATTGATTAAATCAGGATCAATCAGGAGGCTGAGGCAGGAGAATCGTGAGTTCAGGACCAGCCTGGGCTACAAAGTGAGCTCAAGGCCAGCCTGAACTGCATAGCGAGACCCTGTCTCAAAAAGACCAAAAAAAAAAAAAAAAAAATCAGGATCAAATGGGGAAGTAAGTCACATAGCAAGCGGGCATGAAACAGAACAGGGGCTTTTCCTGGAGGGGGTGGGTCAGCGGCTCTTCCTGGCTTTCCCAAGGTGATCCCTAAGATACCTACTTAGAAGATCCACCACTGTTGTTTATCCTTAGGGGAAGTATGTGGGTGTACCTGTTGTACCTTTTGTCTTGAGGTCTGGCCCTCCCCGCATGTGTCTGTGTCTCCCCCATAGCTGCAAGGTATCCTGTCTTCCGCCCTGGCTCCTTTGAGGGCCCAGCTCTGTCTGACTGCCTATACTATTTTTATCTAATTTAGCTGCCTATGGCACTCCTGCCTCAGCCTCCCAAGTAGGTGGGTTTAGGGGCGTGCGCTACCGCACCTGGCACCTTCAGTTTTACTAGATCTTATCACATTGCTCTTCCAAGTGCCCGTACTTGTTCACACTCCCATTAGCAGGACACGGCATTTCTGTTAATCCATATCGTTGCAGAAACTGGATTGTGTAACTCTGGTTTTGTCTGTCTGGTGAGAGTAAAGTTGCAGTTCTTTCCTATTTTCCTCTGTATTTCTCTGGCAAATGGTCATCGTGGACATCTTTTTCCAGATTTGTTGACTTTCCAAGCTTCCTCTTCTGTGAGTTACCAATGCATATTGTTCGGCTTGCTTTCCCCTGTTGATTTACAGGAACTTTCTTAAAAACATTCAAGGTGCTGGGGGTATAGCTCAGCAGCACAAGTGCCTGCCTCGCAAACGCAAGGTCTTGAGTTTGATCCCCAGTACCAAAAAAAAAAAAATCTTTATAGCCAGGTGTGGTGGCACGCATCTGGAATCCCAGCACTCAGGAGGCTGAGGCAGGAGGATGGCCATGAGTGTGAGGCCAGCCTGGGCTACATAGTGTGTTCAAGTCCAGCCTGAACTGCGCAGTAAAGCTCTGTCGCCAAAACCAAACCAGCCATAAGTGGTGGCGCACGCCTGTAATCCCAGCACTTGGGAGGCTGAGGCAGGAGTATCCTTGGGAGTTCAAGGCCAGCCCAGGCTAGAAAGTGAGCTCAAGGCCAGCCTGAACTGCATAGTGAGACCCTGTCTCAAAGAGACAAAAAACCGGGGCTGGGGATTTAGCTCAGCGGCAAAGCGCCTGCCTCGCAAGCACAAAGCTGTGAGTTTGATTCCCGGTACCGGAGAAAAAAAAAAAGACAAAAAACCAAAAATAAATAAAAACCAAAACAGAACAATTCTTTGTAAGTTTTATGAATTGCAAATAGCATCTCCTAGTTCCTGAATTTTTCTTTCAGTTTGTGTTTTGGTACATTTTATAATCCATCAGTATAGGATTTTAGTATCGTTGAATTTATTGATTTTCTCCTTTTATATTTTGGAAATCCTTCCCTGCACCATGGTCATGAGTATAATTTTCTTAATCTAGTTCAGAACTCGGTAAAGCTTTATTCTTCACAACTGGGATTTATTTTTGTTTCTGTGCACCGGTTCTTTATTATTAAGTAACAAATTAGCACAAACTTCACATCTTTAGACAGCACAAATTTAGCAGCTCACTTTGCCATAGGTCGCACATGGCGGACAGCAGACCGAAATTCCCGGAGAAGGCGCTCGCAAGGTTGAGATCAAGTTGTGGGCCGTGTCCATCTAGACCGCGATGCTGGGAGACTGCTCCGACAGCTGGAGGACTGAAGTCCCGCCTCCTTGCCAGCTGTTCCTCCGAGGCTGCTCTCAGCCCCTCCGGCATCTGCATTCCTTCTGTGTGGCCCCTCCATCTTCAAAGACAGCTACAAAGAACCTGCCTGGTGTCAAATCCCTGTCGTCCTTCAAGCCACCCGAGCCATCTGTTAGCTTCCACTATCAGATGGGCCCGAGGGGCCCACTGTGAATAACAAAGACAGTCCTGTCGCTTAGGAGATTCCAGGATTCAGTTATCTCCCCGGAATGGGCCAAAGGCCAGTCAAATTCCCTTCCCTCCTTCCCTCCTTCCCTCCTTCCCTTCTCCCTCCTCCCTTCCTCCTTTCCTCCCTCGTTCCCTCCCTCCATCTTTCCCTTCCTCTTCCTCCACAACCATGGCTGTTGTCACATCCAAAAAAACTAAAACGATTCTTTATTTTCATCAAATAGCCAATATGTTGTAATTGTCCCATTATCTCATTAAAAAATAGTTGATTTCAGCAAATCAGTGTCCTCACAAAGCTTCACATATTGTACTTGGCTGATATATATGCTAAGGTTCTTGTAGTTTATAGGCAGATTCGCCCTCTTTTTATTTTTTGCTTACAATTTATTTGTAGAAGAAAATGAGTCATTTGTTCTATAGAGTCTACCACATTCTAGATTTTGCATAAATTATATAACTATAAAATCCACCCAGATACTGTTTACACTTAACATATTGTAATTAATTTAGCTAGAACGGAGAGTTCCGACATACCTTGTAGAAATGTCATAGGCACAACTCAAAAGACCCTTGTGAAGCACTTAGTGAGCACCTTGGTGATGTGGAAAATTCTAGAATATCTATTCTAGTCCACCCTTGATCCAGGCCTCAAGACCATCATGTGTTACCTTAAATTAACTCCAGGAGGACCCCAGGACTCCATACAGGTCTGTGACTACGGTGTTGCTCAAAGCCACCACGCCCGGCTCCAACAAACAAACAAATTGAAAAAGAAGTAAAAGAAGAAGGTTTGACCAACCAGGACTTTGGAGCTCTGGGGTCCACTTGTACGAACTCCAGAAAAATAAAACTAGAACTCTGGCTGGGTTGGAAATCTGGTTTTTGAGACCCAGATGATCTTCAAGCCAGGATGTCACAGATTTACAGAACGTAACTATAAAAAAAAGTTCAAATAAATAAAATTGGCTCTATCTCAAAAACTATGTCTTTTTACAAAGGTCTTAGAAAAGTGCTTCGAACCCTGAAAATGGATACGAGTCATTTATTCTGCTCCACCATAAATGCACTGGAATTATGTCTTCCTATAATCTGACAGGCCATGAACAGCCCCATTCTATCCAGTGCATTTGCCGGGAATGCTGAAAACTGAGCCCAAAATAAGGGCCTTTAAAAACCCTATCACAATTCCCTGGCAATGGATGCATCTCCGATCTTGTCTCTAAAACAGCGTCATTTTCATGTTCAGCGGGGAGATTGTACCCCACCATGAGTGTGCATTAGATGTTCTTAGTATATTCTCAGAGGGACGAGGCTAGGTCTCCCCAGTTGGGCTGCAGTCCAGGTTTTCGTCCTGTTGAACACAGTCTGAGGCTGGGCCGAATACCGCAGCCACTCCAAGGACCCATTCGTGGCTAGGAGGAGCCTTTGGCCTAGGGGAGCCCAGGAGGTTCCCTGACCTAAATGACAAGGTGTTTGGCAGATTTAAAATGTACAAAGTGCTCTGCCACAGTGTGGGAACTCGGAAACACACATGCTTCCATAGGCCAACCAGAAGTCTCTCCATCCTGAGATCTGTCCCTCCACCAGCTGTCCGATGACTTAGCTGCGAAGCCCAGAGCGTCTCAGAAAGAACCAGTTCAGTTCCTTCTCTAAAGCCATCTGCCAATTCCACCCCAAGAGAATCTCTTTCATCATTCCTGTCACAGAAGGGTCCAGCAGCTGCCTCAGGTCCCAATCTGTCAGAAAGACCACGGCAGTGGCTGCCGGAAACAAACTCGTCAGAAGCAGAGCAGAAGGCTGAGAGCGAAGGGTGGGGAGGTGCTCCCCAAGTCCCACAGGCGTGTGCACCGAGCCTTTGTTTTTGCTGGGTCTCTCTTTCTGTGAAATTTCACAAACATCTCTTTATCATTCAGCGCCTGGGGGACATTTCTTATTCTCCTTAGTAGCACCGCGCAGTCAAGCAGCTTTGGAAAACCCGCGTTGTGGTCTGGCCCTTTTCCTGGCTGAAACTCCTGTGCTTTCTTTTTTTTGTCTTTTTGAGACAGGGTCTCGCTATTCAGTTCAGGCTGGCCTTGAGCTCACTTTGTAGCCCAGGCTGGTCTCGAACTCACAACGATCCTCCTGCCTCAGCCTCCCAAGTGCTGGGATTACAGGTGTGCGCCACCACGCCCGGCGTCCTCTGCTTTCTTCTTTGTCTTCTCATCACCTTCTTTCACTCTCTCCTTCTTTGATGATTTTTTTTTCTTTTTAAAATTATTTTTTAATTTTTAAATTATCATATAAAAATAATAGGAATTTAGCTAGATGTGGTGGCCACACACCTGTAATCCCAGCACTTGGGGAGGCTGAGGCAAAAAGATTACAAATTCAAGCCCAGCTTGAGCAATTTAGCAACATCAGAAAACCTGAATCTCAAATTTTTTTTTTTTTTTTTTTTTTTTTTTTGGTTTTTCTCCGGTACCGGGAACCGAACTCACAACCTTGCACTTGCCAGGCAGGCGCTTTTGCCACTGAGCTAAATCCCCAGCCCCTGAATCTCAAATTTTTAAAAAAGGGATTGGGGGCCAGGAATATAGCTCAGGGCTCACAGAAGGTGAGGTGCTCAGGCACCTCAGAACGTGGTTCTTCCCGGGCTCGGACTTCCTTCCACACAGGTGCCAGCCATGTCCTCTTTCTAGACGGAGGCTCCTGCCTGGCAAGCATGAGGTCCCGAGTTCGATTCCTGGTACAAAAAGAAATTTTTTTAAATAAATAAAATAAAATAAAAAAGGGAGTGGGAGCTGGGGATGTAGCTCAGTGCAAAGGCCCAGGGTCCAATTCCTAGTACTGCCAAAGTATACATATATATCTATCTCCTACATGACATGACAGTTTGAAGCATAAGTGTATCATGGAATGACTAAATCCAGCAACTTATATATGTATATATATCTCTATATACATATATATAACTATATATATAGATATAGATATATAGATATAAAACTATACCTCAGATAGTTATCAATTTTGTAGGGAGAACACTTGTATCCACTTTCTTAGCATTTTTCAAGAAGTCTGCTCAGTGGTAGAGTGCTAGCCTAGCATACATGAGGCCCTGTATTCAATTCCCAGTACTGAAAAAAAAATGGTGATAGTCAGCCTCCCATCAATGTGACAAAATACTTGATTGAGATAATGGAGTTATGAAGAGAAAAGGTTTATTTTAGCTCACAGTTTCAGAGGTTTCAGTCCATGGTAACAGCCCTGTTGCTTTGGGACTGTGGTCCTACAGTATGTCATGGCAGGAAAATGTGGCAAAGAAGCTGCCTACCTCGTGGTAGTCAGAAAGCAAAGAGAGAGAGAGAGAGAGAGAGAGTGCCAAGGTCCCACCCCAAATCCCTTCCAGGGCACAGGCCCATGACCTAACTTGTTCCCATTAGACCCCACTTCCTAAAGGCTCCTCCAGCTCGTCACAGGCTGGCAACCAAGCTGATGACACGTGGGCTTTGGAGACATTCTAGATGTAAACTGTAGCACACATCCATTTCTTGTGTTTGCTACTCCACATGTATTCGAAGAGCCATCATCTGGGAGAAGCAAAGCCAGTACTTCACACTGAGCTGCTAGCACCTCAGAACGTGGTTCTTCCCCGGCTCGGACTTCCTTCCGCACAGGTGCCAGCCATGTCCTCTTTCTAGACGGAGGCTCCGGCCTCAGTGTGCACAGACTGCATCTGCATTTTTGAGAACTTGGCCCTCTTCAAGGTTTGGGGCAGGAGAATGGCCACCATCCACTCTCTACCTGCTTCTTCTGAGCAGACTAATCTAGAATCTTTGTTTCCATTTCTTGTGGTAAACAGAAAATCTTGCTGCCATGAAAGGAGCAAAACAGAAATAGAGAGGGAAATAAAGCATAGAGATGAAGGTGAGAGGAATTTGTGGTTCCCTAGCTGTGCCCTGCTCTTCCTGAAGTTTGATTATGTAGTTCTTCCTTAGACTCCAGAGGTGTCCAGAGACACCTCACTATCCTTATAATACTTCCCCTATATACTTTTTTGGTTTTTGAGACAAGGTCTCGCTATGTAGTTCTGGCTGACCTTGAACTATGTAGCCCAGGCTGGCCTTGAACTCATGGCGATCCTCCTGCCTCAGCTTCCCGAGTGCTGAGATTACAGGTGTGCACTACCATACCCAACTCCCTTGTATACTTTATTTAAAAAAAAAACAACACACACACAAGATCTTGCTTTGTAGTTCAGACTGGCCCTGAACTCACTATGTAGCCCAGGCTGGCATCAAACTTGTGGCAATCCCCCTGCCTCAGCCTCCCGAGTGCTAGGATTACAGGGACGCACCACCACGCCTGGCTTCCCTTCTATACTTTTTTAAATTGGTGCTCCTGGGTTTTGATCCTTGTATCAGAAGACATAGAGTGAATCTGTGTCTCTTGGGCATCACTTGGCACAGTGTGCTGTGATTACCATGCCAGCCAACTATCGCACGCATTCTCTGGGAGTTGCCACTCCCGGAACCCCTGTTTTGGAGCAGCAATTTTGGCTTTCACTGGCCTCCCGAGTGCTGGCATCATAGGAAAATGGGCTGTGGCCAGGAAGAGGGAGTCACCATACAGCTCTTGGTAGGAATCAAAGAACTTGCGGGCCTTAGGGCTGCAGCTGAGTGGCAGAGCCCTTGCTTAGCAAGTGCAAGGCCCTGGTTCCACGGCCAGCATTTCAGACAAAGAAACAAACGACAAAAAAGCGTGTGTGCTTGAGGAGGAGGCTTCAGGGCTCACCTGAAGGCGGCGGCCCGCCAGAGCTGAGGTCTGAAAGCTGCAGCGGGCCGGCTGGAGAAACGCGCACTGACGCTTTCCCCGTGAAGCGCGGAGGTTCTCAGCCCGAGAGTCCAGAGCTCACGAAGAACAATGAGAAGGTGGAATTCGCAAAGGAGCCCTTGGAAGGGGGCGGTAACTGAGAAGTTGATAACTAACGTAGATCTAAGGATCTTTGAAGATGAGCAAATTGTCTCGTAGTAAGTGTGGAGGCTTTCCCCCAAGGTAAAAATGGCGAAACCAAATGATCTCTGAGGCTCCTCCCAGTTTTAAAATATGCTGAATCTTTTTTTTTCTTTTTTTTGAGACAGGGGTTTTCTATTTAGTCCAGGCCAGCCTTGAACTCACTGAGTTGGCCAGGCTAGCCTCAAATTTGCTGTCCTCTCAGCCTCCCAAGTGCTGGAAATTACAGGGACGCATCCCTACACTCAGTCATTTGTCTCTTTGAAAAGGACATAGTTGGGTGCAGT